AAATCTTCCAACAAAACATACTATGCAATCACTAACTAATGACTGGGTGGAATTTACAAATTATTAAGATGACCACCACCTCCATTTACAAGGACAAAACTACGTATGAGTCTAGTAGATCAGTCTGTTTGTCATTGTGTATAATTTACATGCCGTCTATTACAATATTAAAGTACATTTTTACTACAGGTCCCTGGAAAATGGTATCACCATCAGTTGGCTCTCTCAAACTTCATTTCAAAGTAAGTGGAAATCCAATATTTCTTTTATGTCGCAAAATCAATTCCAATTAAAATGACATAGAACTTTTAAGTCTAACATATGACAAAATTTTACACCAAGTATTTTATCGGCATCATTTTAAACAAAATTTCTATTCCTATTTAAAACATATAAATTTGAAAGATATTTTCCTTTCATTTCTGTATTTTTGGTCCTTTCACTTATAACCTTTGCCCTAAGATTGACTTTCTAGTACTACTCTAAAACAGTAGTGAAAATAAGAGATTTAGCATTTGTATTATATCCATTTACCTGTCTCTCTGGAGACTGTGCAGAGGACTTCTGTGGCAAGGGTATACTATTAATCAAACACAGCACATCTTTCATCTTCTGGTCAGAAATTCTCACGTGCATCAAAGGAAGTCCTCCTGTTACTTTAAATCTAAAAATACAATTCAGCTGTAAGGTTTTAACGTCAGCTTCTCTATATTATAGAGGAGGGAGGGGATGGGAGAAGAGACTACATTGCAAAGTCAAAGTTCCTTTGGACCTGTTTTAATCTAATCACACTACTGCATCCTTTAGACACTGTCAAGAAATGGGAAGTTCTATGGTAAGGCACATTTCCAGATAATTTAAACATATCCTTCTTAAGCAGTCAAACCTTTTTAAGTTAACTAATTTTTACGAAAATCTTTCCAAATGCTATTCTTTACTTTTTTTTAAATCAAAAACACCAAGTGACAAAAGAGTGAGACTCTGTCTCAAAAAAAAAAAAAAAAA